TGATTTTTAATTTTCTGTCCTATTTTCCTCCCAACTTTTATTATAAAAAAGTTCAAACATACAGAAAAGTTGAAATAGTCCTACTATATAGAAAACCTGTGTTCCTACTATAGGGATTCAACAGTTGTTCAAGTGTTTCCATATTGCTTTATTTAAATATTTTTCTGAACCATTTAAACATAAATTATAGAAATGGTGACACTTTACCCCTAAATGCTTCAAAATACAATATTAAGCTAGACTCCTACATGAAAATAATAATTTTTACACCCAAGGAAATTAACAATGATTCCCTATCGTCACTGTATTTAATCCTATTCAAATTTTCCCCAGTAGTGTCTACAGTGTTTTCAAACCAGCATTTAATCAAGTTGCACCCATTGCATTTTTTCTTTTATTTTTTTAGTCTTTTAATCTGAAACATTCCTCCACCTTTTGAAAAAAGAAGCATCTTCCAGACTATAGCATACACAGTACATATTGCATAATTCCATATATATAACATTTTGGAAAATGCAAATTAATCTACGGTGACAGAAAGCAGATCAATGATTACCTGGGGAAGGAGGCAGAGGTGGGAGAGGAAGGAAAGGTGGATTGCTCTGGGAGAATTTTTGGGGTAATATTTGATTAAATTCATTATTTGATTCCAAGGATGGTTCCACGGTTCTATACATACATCAAAACTACTCAGTTGTACATTTTTAATATGTGCAGTTTCTGTATATCAATTATAATTCAATACTCTAAAAAGTTGGCAGGGACAGAATGTACTTGCTTCTAAATTTCTGACATCCTAGTTCCACTTACAGCACTTTACAAGGGATTTGAAGAAGCATCTATCTTAAACAATAGCAACAATACACTTTAAGTTTTAAACTGCATTTTATAAAGTGCCTGAAAAGAATTTAAGAAAACATTTAAAAATACATTTTCACTTAAAATCAAAAGAAAAAATTTCACTGACTGCTCATTAATTGCCTACTGATTTAAAGAGGGAGCTCACAGAAGGGTAAGCTAATCCTCTCTTTTCTGCCTTTTCTCTCATTACTACCTTATGCACATCCCACCCCAGATTGACTGACACCTATGGTGCTGATGTCCTTGTCCATGCTCTTTCCACTTGAGAGGCCTTCTTTCCACCTCCTTCTCTTTTCAACTATCGCTGACAGGCAGAAATCCTACTCATCCAGTAAAGCTTCTTGTGAGCTTTGCTGATTACTCACCCTAACTAGAGTTTGTGTTCATTCCATAGGCACCTTCACCCAGGGTTCATCCTGCCCCTGGTGTTCTTTCCAGGGCTGGGACAAGGGGAAGCAAGTGAGGCATTCACTTGAGTTGCACATTTTAAGGGGATGCCAAAGAACTCAGTAATCCAGTAGTTTCAAATCAGTATCCAATCAGGTTTCACTCATTGCATTTAATTACATCTCTTTAGACCCTTTTTGTCTAGAACATTCCCCTACCTTTATAAAACATATTTTGCAGAATGTACCATATTCAGAACATATTGAATAACTCCATTTTCTAATTGTATATCATATAGTATTTGAAATAAGTGTTTTAACAAATCAAAATAATGCAAAAAATTGATGTTGAGCTAAATATTGGAATTTAAAATAAAGACAGGATCAGTATTACTGATTCTTCCTGAGCCTTGGGCTCCAACGCGGCTCCAGCCAGCACTGGCTCCTTTTCAAACTGCTGTGATACAAGGACTCACTCATCCTGTATGCCCTGCCATACCTGTGCTAGGGCCTGTCAAGTCACAGGCACCCATTCATCTGACAACAATTTTCTGTTCCTTCCATGTATTATTTCCCTCATTAAAAGAAGCAAATAAAACAGCAGCAGTGATTAAGGCATCTAAGGTTAGATTAATGAAGGAAAATATATATAACAGGCTTGTATTCAAAGATAATAAGAATTATCTCTAAGAAAAAGAATTTCAGCTGCATCCTACATGTGAAGATAGACCACAAGGGAAGAAAAAGCTATTATTCTAAATATTTTCATTTTAAAATGCTCTTTTTTATTATCGATCATAATCATCCAGAATAACTGAAATCATCACACCCCCTTCTTATATTTGGTGTAGAAATTTTTTTGGTCACAAACAGATGCACAGTTCTTGATGTAAAATTTGGTATATTACACATAGCCCCATTTCCAGATTTTCTTATCTTTCAGTTATAGATTTCTTTCTTGCAGCAGGGACGAGAAGAATTGTCTGTTTGTGGGTGTTCACATTCTTTGTGATTAAATATCCATTTTGACAGTGCTCTTTTGTAGGCCTAAGACTTTAAAATAAAATCTAGGAAAAGATTCAATGACAAATAGGGTATCTCAGTATCACCACTGTGTTCCTGTATTAATCAGAGATTTAATTATTTAATTCATTTCTTCCAGCATCATGATTTCATTCTATCTAGTCTATTTTCTAATCTGGCTAAAACTGGTTTGGTTCTCATGACTCTGTAATACATGGATAGTACAGAAAACCTCAGTGCTTACAGAGGAAACAAGACTAAAATAACATACTGATCTGCTGTATATTTTCATGTTCTTAGAACTATTGTTTCTAATTTTATACATACAATTATACTGCTTTGTTTCATAATATATTCAATTTTTGACATTATCTAGCCTTATCAGAAGATAAACACAGCAGAATTCAAATGGCTTAAGTACTTTCTGTGTAAAAGGATAAATTCTTGCTCCTTAAATTAGGGTAAATTATGCCCCACATTCACTGAAAACTGAAAATTGCCATTAACTATCATGGAGATCCATCAATTTAGTTCCATGTTAAGAGTGAACAATAATGAACAAGGATAAGAAGCATAGACGTGCAATATTTTAAAATAAAACAAAACCAATTAGAACCTAGGATCAGATTCCTCTCTTTGTGACTCCAATGAAATCTACCATATATGAGTACCTTGCCTATCCTGGGGGGAAAACCAGCCAAAGACTTGGAGGATGCCTGATGTATTTTTTCATCAATATTATTGGTGATTCACAAATTGTCTTTTGAAAGTTTAACTATAATTTTAGATTTTATTGCTGACAATAGGCAGAAATGAATTGATATATGTTAGTTATTTTCTAAGAAGGAAGATCTAGATATTTTTTAGGTTAAAAAGCAAAAACAAAACAACATAGCTGAAGACCACCTTTTGGGGGCAGTTGCCTTTCTCTTACTTCATCAGGTTTTGTAGTCAAGAATTAGGACAGGGCCAGGTGCCGTGACTCCATGTCAAATCCCAACACTTTGGGAGGCCAAGGCAGGAGGATCACTTGAGGCCAGGAGTTCAAGACCAGCCTGGGCAACATAGCAAGGCCGTGTCTTCACAAATAAAAAATAAAAAGCTGGGCGTGGTGATATGCAGCTGTGTTCCCAGCTACTTGTGAGGCTGAGGTGGGAGGATGGTTTGAACCTAGAGGTTCAAGGCTTCAGTGAGTCATGATTATGTCACTACACTCCAGCCTGAGACAGAGCAAGGCACGGTCTCTAAAAATAAATAAATAAATAAATAAGAAAGAACAGTATCTGCATTGTAAACTAAACCAGAAAGGCTCATTCTTGTTACACGAAGGAGCTGAAACTGGTTAGTATGGAAAACAGTAAATCAATTATGGGGTTATAGGTAATATTGATCTCCTCATAGTTGATGATGTTAGCAAGTGATTTCCTCAGGGAAGGAAAAGAAGAGCTTCAACATACTAGGAACAGTGCCTGCTGACTTGGAAAATTCACTGTTGCTGGATACTGGCTATTGGACAGTTTCAAAGCTTAGATCAAGAACAGTAATCTTGTTTGTCTGGTCTACTCAGCACCCATCATCATGTATGGCACATAGTAGGTGTTTAATACAGTTGACAAAGTTTTAAAGTCTATAATCATGAAGGAATGTAGAGGAAACAGTAGCATATAGCTGAGTGAAAGAAGCCAGTTTGCAAAAGTTACGTATGATTCTAACTACATACATTCTGGAAAAGGCAAAACTACAGAGATCAATGATTACCAGGGGCTCAGAGGGAAGGAAAGGAGGATAAATCAGTGGGGAGCAGGGGAATTTTTAGGGTAATGAAACAATTCTGTATGATGTGTAATATTAGATACATGTCATTATATATGTGTCAAAACCCATAAAATGTACAATACCAAAATTGAACCCTAATGAGGTTCAAATTTGAGTCCTAAACTATGGACTTTAGTTAATAATAATGTATCAGTATTGGCTCATCAGATATATAGCACATGTACTGCACCAATGCAAGATGTTAGTAAAAAGGGCAACTGTGGTAGGGAAAGAAGGTATATGGGAACTCCCTGTACTTTCCTGCTCATTTTTCTGTAAACCTAAAACTGCTCTAAAAAGTAAAGCTTATTACTTTTTTTTTTTTTGAGACGGAGTTTCGCTCTTTTTACCCAGGCTGGAGTGCAATGGCACGATCTCGGCTCACCGCAACCTCTGCCTCCTGGGTTCAAGCAATTCTCCTGCCTCAGCCTCCCGAGTAGCCGGGACTACAGGTGTGCGCCACCATGCCCAGCTAATTTTTTTGTATTTTTAGTAGAGACGGGGTTTCACCATTGTTGACCAGTATGGTCTCGATCTCTTGACCTCGTGATCCACCCGCCTCGGCCTCCCAAATTGCTGGGATTACAGGCATGAGCCACCGCGCCCGGCCCAGCCTATTACATTTTTTAAAAAGTTTGTGAAGCTTTATTGTGCCCTGACTTTCATTCCAGGATGATACAAAAGGAGCTATTAGAAACTGGGTGAATAAATGAATGTGATATCCAAGATAATATTCAGGAACATTTATTTTCTTTTGAGTAAATAACCATTGAGTGCCAACCACAGAACTGCTAGACAATGTATGGCATAGAAAGAAAAGAAGCTGCTCCTTATCTGAGAACGTCAAATTGTTCTCAGATTTATTTATATGTTATATCAAACAAATAAAAGCTGTTTTATTCTCTTAACCACAAGATTCGTCAAGATGGAAAATGTTTACTGCCAAAGAAGAAAGAAACACTTCAGGGAGTGTGACTGAAGTAAGAGTGATTGGGTCACAAAGAAAGGCTCCAAACTAAAGGTATGAAGACAGGGAAGGCATCTCAATAAAACTGAAGGTGAAACAGTTCATGCTGCACATATAAATGAATAGCAGCAGCAGTCAGAAAGCGTATGTATGTATGATTTTGTAAGTCACCTGTGATGCACTATAATCACCTGGAATTGGACAAAGGATGGAACAAAATCAACCCCTTTGCCTGCTTGCCTCGGGCCCACCTCCAACACACACACACATGTGCACACACAAGGATCTCTAAGTTATAGACAGTTCAACGCAGCCCCTGGAGGAAACTGGTATGGTAAAAGATGTCTCACCTGGTGTTTAAAATGAAACAAAGCAAAATACAGGCATATACAATTAAGACCTCTTTCTCATCACAAGAAAGGCAGAGGTAGCTCTGCCTCTTCCTGGTTCCACACCCACTCCTCTAGCTGACCTATTGTGACTTGCTTTATTCTTCAGATCTGACTTGAGTGTATAATTTAAGCTGGTTTGATCTCTACACCAATTGTAATACATCAAGTGGTAAAGAAGGTGACAAAATGAAAACAATACAATTTTCCCTAAATCCCACCCCACACAAGGACAGGCCAAACTTGAATTGAGGTGTTTTGTTTTATTTTTATTTTTTTACACAGTCTCACTCTGTCACCCAGGCTGGAGTAAGTCTCACTTTGTCACCCAGGTTGGAGTACAGTGGCGCTATGACGGCTCACTGCAACCTTTGCCTCCTGGGTTCGGGCAATACTCAGCCTCAGCCTCCAAGTAGCTGAGATTACAGATGTGCACCACAGTGCCTGGATAATTTTTTTGTATTTTTAGTAAAGACAGGATTTAACCATATTGGCCAAGCTAGTCTTGAAATCCTGGCCTCAGGTGATGCCGGCCTCGGCCTCCCAAAGTATTGGGATTACAGGTGCAAGACACTGGTAACTCCAATTAAACAATTTTTTTTTCTTTAGAGATGAGGTCTTGCTGTGTTGGCCAGGCTGGTGCCAAACTCCTAGCCTCGGGTGATCCTCCCACCTTGACCTCCCAAAGTGCTGGTACTACAGGTGTGAACCAACACACCCAGCCCTCAAGATAGATTAAAACAAAACAAAACAAAAAACCACAAACACCACACCAACAAACCACACACAATCCCCAAGATTCCAAACGTTGGGCAATGCTTCTTAAAGAGTTGAACTATAACAGATTTGGGGCATTTTTTGAACATCCCTAATGAGGAGGTAATATAAAGTTAATGCTTTATAGTTAAAGGCTCAGTTCTACCACTTACCAGACAGGAAAGTCACACAGAGTGTCTGAATCTCATTGTCCACATCTCTAATGTAAGGGTTGTAATAACACTTATCCTTTACAACAGACAGTTATCACAAAGATAAAATGAGATAAATGAAAGCAAAAGTATCTATCATTATCATCATCATCATCATCATCATCATCATTGTTGTCATTATTCCTTCCCTGCCTGGAAAAATACAGGTTGCCCAAGAGATACCCAGGAAAGCGCCTAAGTATTTTTAGGGTATAATTCAACCCTTGGTGAAACCTTGAAAAACTGGAAGTATGTAGGTTGGCTTTCAGTTTCAGCAGATTGTTACCACCAAAGATGCAGCCTCCCGACATGCTGGTTATGCACCGCACAACTCCAGGGGACGCCATTCATGTAATTCAGGACCCGTAGCTGAAAACTAAGGTTTAGTAAGTAGGTGAAGATTTCAGCTCGCACTTTCTGTAATAAACTCGTAAGTGGTTAAGCAAACTAGATAGCTAGCTATCTGAACAATTGGCACATGGCCCTCATATTTTCAAATAAATTTGGGAAGTACAAAACATTCAATGAACAAAAAGAATCTCCATTCTGGAGATTTAACTAAGCCTTTTTTTTAAAGTGATAAAATATATTTACAGATACTAAAACTAAAAAGAGACAACAAAAAGTGGAGGAATTTTAGCTATAAAAAAAATCCCACTTATTTGGAAAGGTATCCAATCTTATTTTACTACAAAGAAAGTGCTAAAAATATGTTAAGTCTTACCTCCAATTCTGATATCAGCCACAACAGAAATGTCTCCTAAAATGCAAATTTTAAATAATAGCTCTAAAAGAACAGAAAGTTTCTTCCTCATGCAAATGAATTTTGCTCTCGAAAAGAGAGAGTGAACTGCAGAGAGGAGACCGTGATACCAGAGCCTCATCCACTTGAGGGCAGGCAACTCTGACCCTAGCATTTGGACATTTTCCAGAAGTTTTCACTCCTAAAGTGTAGGCAGTTCCAATCAACAGCTTAAAGGGATTTTTTTTTTTTAACTTGAAAGTTATCCCAATCTTTATCTGGAAGAGTAAACACATGAAAATAACATGGAGATTCTGGAAAGAAATATGGTAGGCAGCTAGCTCTACCAGGCACTAAAACATATTATAAAGCAAGCTTGGCCAACCAGTGGCCCACGGGCTGCACGTGGCTCAGAATGGCTTTGAACGCAGCCAGCAAACAAATTTGTAAACTTTCTTAAAACATCGTAAGTTTTTTTTGCTTGTTTTTTTTTTTCTTTTAGCTTATCATCTATCATTAGTATATTTTATGTGTGGCCCAAGACAATTCTTCTTCCAATGTGGCCCAGGGAAGCCTAAAGGTTGGACACTCCTGTATATAAAGCAATACTAATTAAAACTTGGTGCCACTGGTATAAGAACTGAACTGACAAAGCTCTCAATGAAACATAACCTATACATGAATTCTAGTCTGTGTAAAATACATGTTAAAAGTTGTATCACAAGTCAATTGGGAAGAAAAGATCATCCCATAAATTGTAATGAGCTGAATAGCTAACAATTGAAAAACAAATCAACTCATATCTTTATTTCACAGCATAAATAGAAACGAAATTGCAGAATATTTAAAGAGATGAAAAAGAAAAAAAAATCAAGCTTTAGATGAACTGAAAGAAAATAGAAGTATTTTTCAAGCCTCTGGAAAAATCTGAGTTTCTAAGCTTGGAAACAATAGAAGATATAAAAACTTGACAACATAAGAACAACATAATTTTGAAAGTTAAAGTAAAAAGGCAACCCTGTGATTGCAGCACTTTGGGAAGCCCAGGCAGGAGGGCTGCTTAAGGCCAGAGTTTGAGACCAGCCTGGGCAACAAAATAAAACCCTGCCTCTAAAAAAATTAAAAACAAAAGAAAGTAACAACAACAGAAATAAATAAAATAAAAAGGCAAACAGTAACCTAGCAAATACAGTCACTCATGGAAAGGGGCTAATAAATCTAAATGAATGAGATACATAGATAAAAAATGATTAAGACTCTTAACAGATAAGTGCATGCAAAGGGCATGTTCCTACTTAAAAAAAAAAAATGACCTGAAGTTGTGATTTTAAAAAGAAACAAACAAAACGAAGACACATCATTTTAGCCCACTAAATTGACAGAATTAAAAAGGGATGATAATAAAATAGCAGGTATGGAGAAATTGACACATTGTGCATTTCTAGTGCCATTTCACATTTTAGAAAGCAATAAATTTGATGACACATGTCAATAAAGAAAATTAAATGTATACCTTCTATCCAGGGGTCCGTTTTCTGGAAATGAAGAAAATAAAAGGTATGTAAAAAGCCTTATGCACTAGGAAAGTCATTGAATATTACTTAAGACTATGAAAGAATCAAATTATAAGCTGAATGTGGTGGCTCGTGCCTGTAATCCCAGCCACTTGGAAGGCTGAGGAAGGAGAATTGCTTGAACCCAGGAGGCAGAGGTTGCAGTGAGCCGAGATCACATCATTGCACACCAGTCTGGGCGACAGAGTAAGATTCCGTCTTAAAAAAAAAAAAAAAGAATTATGTAAAAATTGAGAATTGGTTCAGTAAAGCATAGAAAGAGACAAATGGTCATTTGGAACAACAACGACAACAACAAAGAATGAATGATTGAAACCTACATAACATGGACTACTACTCCATGAAAAAGAAATTAATATATAAATTGAATGACCAAGCAGTGTAGCTATTCTTTGGTAAGGGCGGGGGCGAGGGTGGGGGTTCCTCCACTGATAACAGCTCCCTTGCGTTGGAGAATTTCTTTCCAACTTTGTGTAATCCTGGTGGGGACATAGGTCATGGTGGCCTACTCTTATCTCTCCCAACAGGTAAGCTTATGGCCCGGGTCGACTGGTGACAATGCAACACTGCCCTGTGCATGGTAATTGGTCAAAGGAGGGATACATTTTCCATGATTGACTAATTTGGGTCTTTTCCCAAAATTCTCCAAACTAAGGGTAGACAGAAGCTATCTCTTCCTTTTGGATGACCTTGGGCTGTTGGCGGCTGTACCCCTGCTGGTTAGTTTCAGAAGTGCTGAAGGAGAGGATGGAGGCAACATAGAAAAAGAAGCAGAATTAAGTAGAAAAAAAGACAGATCTGAGGAAATTCTCTGGACTTCTGGATACAGCCCTACCTAAAGCCTGTGTATTTCCTGCTTACATGAGCATTTCTGACACATGATTTGATATGTTAAAGCGGATATGAGTTAAGATTCAGTCTTCAGTCTTTGTGTACACACTCATACAGAAACAATTTCTGTACAATATTTTTGGTGACCAGAGTATTCTTAAAAATTTAGATCAGACATGTCATTACCATGTTTAAAAAATCTTACAGTAGCTTCATATTGCTCTTAGACCAAGAGATAATCTCCTTACTGTGTCCTGTGATGTCCCCTTCTCTCCTCTCTCTCTCTGACACACACACACACACACACACACACACACACACACACCCCTCTCCCTCCCTCTTTTCCTTCCATGCTCCTCTGGCTCATTTGCTCTGTTTAAATGGCCACCTTTCTGTTCCTCAAACAAGCAAAGTTTATTCCTATCCTGGGTTTCTGCACTTGCTTTCCCATAAGTCTGACTGATTCTTTTTGTTTTTTGTTTGTTTGCTTGTTTGGAGATGGAAGCTTGCTCAGTTGCCCAGGCTGGAGTACAGAAATTCTCCTGCCTAAGCCTCCCGAGTAGCTGGGACTACAGGTGTGTACCACTACACCAGGCTAACTTTTTGTTTGTTTTTTTTGGGACAGAGTATTGCTCTTTCACCCAGGCAGGAGTGCAGTGGCGAGATCTCGGCTTGCTACAACCTCCACCTCCTAGGTTCAAGTGATTCTCGTGCCTCAGCCTCCTGAGTACTGGACTACAGACACCTGCCACCACACCCAGCTAATTTTCATACTTTTGTAGAGATGCGGTTTTGCCATGTTGATCCAGGCTGGTTTCGAACTCATGACCTCAGGTGATCCTCCCGCCTCAGCCTCCCAACATGCTGGGATGACAGGTGTGAGCCACCGCACTCAACAGATTCTTTCTTGTCCAGCAGGTGTCATGTCAAGTGACCCCTCTGTGAGGCCTTCCCTGAGTACTTACTCCACATTACTCTCCTTTATGTACTTGCCCTTACTTATTTCCATCATAAATTATCTTACTTATTTGCGGGTTTATTATCTGCCTTCTGTTTTAAAATGAAGGAAACATTTAGAATAAAAACTTGTATGTACACTAAGAATACAGTTAGGAAACAATAAGCATTTGAGAAAAGATTGAAAGAAAATGCGTAGATTTATAACACTGGGTTGATGGGGATGGATAGTGTCTTAATTTCCTTCATCTTTCTTCATTATCCAAATTTTCTGTGGTGTATTTATACTGTTTGGCAATTAATTAAGACACAAATAGAAAGAAATCATATGCTTTTCAGAATCCACTAAACTTCCTGGCATTTTCATAAAGAATTTTTAGTCTTGATTTTCAGAAACTGTTAACAACAGGTTTTGCCAACAACCTCCCTCACAAAAATCTCTTGGTTAAAAAAGAAGGGGGAAAAAAGCAGAAAAAAGCAAAAGAGAACTGAAAAGGAACCTTGGTGTGGTGGTTCATTAGAGTCCTCCTAATCACTAAGGATCATTTGTTAAAGCTGCCGAAGCACAAAATGTAACTGTGGTGGGCTTCTAAACATAAACATCAGCGCACATCAAGACCTATCCATGACCAGACACAACAACAAAAGTTCTTAGAATTATCTGGCCCAATGCCACAGCCAAGTGCCCGATGAACAGAGTCTGCAGCCCAGTAGTGAATTGAGAATAAAAGGCCTATGGTCTACATGTTCTGCGATTTTTATCATTTCAGTGGTATTTACTTTTTCTTTCTTTCTTTTTTTTTTTTTTTTTTTGAGACGGAGTTTTGCTCTTGTTACCCAGGCTGGAGTGCAATGACGCGATCTCGGCTCACCGCAACCTCCGCCTCCTGGGTTCAAGCAATTCTTCCGCCTCGGCCTCCTGAGTAGCTGGGATTACAGGCACGCGCCACCATGCCCAGCTAATTTTTTTTGTATTTTTAGTAGAGACGGTGTTTCACCATGTTGACCAGGATGGTCTCAATCTCTTGACCTTGTGATCCACCTGCCTCGGCCTCCCAAAGTGCCTCTTTTTAAATTTAACACTCCATGTTATGGTTTGAATGTTTGTATCTCTCAAAAATTTATGTTGAAACTTAATCTCCAGTGTAACAAGCGGTGAGACCTTTGAAAAGTGATTAGGCCGTGAGGGCTCCACCCCCATGGATGGAATTCATACCCGTATAAAAGATCTTGAGGGAGTAAATTCATCTCTATTCATCATTCTGCCTTGTGAAGACACAGAATTCATCCATTCCTGAGGACACAGCAACAAGGCTCCACCTTGGAAGCAGAGAGTGAGTGCTTACCAGGCACTGAATCCGTCAGCACCTTGATCTGGGATTTCTCAGCCTCCAGAGCTTGAGAAATTTCAACTATTTATACATTATCCAGTCTGTCGTACTTTGTTATAGCATCAAGAATGAACTAAGACACTCCATAAAACTTTTCCCAGTCTGAGTTGCTCACATTTGTGTCTTTAACTCCGCGGTGATCTGCTTTCTGGAAATCACATTTCTCTCTTTCCAGGCCCTCTCCTAACCCTGTCATACACATGGACCTTGGCCCTCTCAGAGATCCCAAAATCACCGTCTCTGGTTTATTTAAGTTTCACGTGTTTTTCAACTACCTAGTCTCACCTTGATGGATAACATCATTTACTTTTTCTATAAACAGTTATTGAGTGCCTATGTGTAGTCGTTTCTAGACATTAACAAGGGATGTGTCTCTTAATAGAGCCTATAGTTTACTAAAGGAACTAAGCAAAACCAAGTGAACAAACATAATCAGCAGAAATTTTGGCAAGTTGTAGGAAGGAAACAAATAGGATTCCCTGTCAGGATGGTTAGGGAAGGTCCTCTGAAAAGGTAAGTTGAGATCTGAAGCATGAGGAAGGACAATCTGGGGCAGGAAAAAGCACAGCTTGTTTGAAGGCATATACAGCTGGAGTATCATAAGCAAGAAGCTAGGTGGCATGAAAAAAGATGAGTGTGGTTGGAAAATGCCAGATCAAACATGGCCTTATAGGTCCTGGTGAGGAGGTCAGCTTTTATTTAAGTGCAATTTGAAGCAATGGAAAAGCTTTACTCTGAAAAACAATATATATAATTTACTTTTAATTTTGTTTTACTCTACTTTAAAGTTTTACTTTACTTATCAGTTCTCAAAATAAATGAATGGATTCCTAAGAGTCATTTTCATGTAAACTTTACAATGAGTTTGTCCATATTTTTATCCATAAAATAACTGGGTGGGATTTTGGTTGGAATCATATAAATCTATAGATCAAGCTGGGGAAAACTGACATCTTGACAATATTGCATACTCCTATCTATGAATATTGAATATCTCTATCTCTCCAGTTAGTTGTGTCCTTGATATCTTTTACTAGAGTTTTGTAGTTTTTCTTACCCTGCAACCTTGTTATAATCACTAACAAAGTCCAACTTTGCAGTAATCACTAATGAATTTCTTTTTTTAATGACTCTTTGGGATTTTCTACACAAACAGTCATTTAGTATCCTTCAAAGTTTTTTTTAGTACATCATTATTAAGTCATGAATTTAAACATTTTGATCTGGTTCAATCTCTTATAATTATTATTTTTATCAATACTTAAATTATTCTTTGTTGGGCCAGTGGAATCCTCCTTAAGTGGCCTCTGAGTCCTTTTGACATGACCTCGGTAGCCTTGAATTGCTTCACTACTAACTGGTATGACAAGATATTCCAGGCTAGTCTTTCACATTTCTTGCCCCAGACCTATAGTCAGCTTATTCTCCAAGTTGCCCTAATTTCTTTTATTGGAAAATTGTATTTAGAAGTCACAATTCTGGATGTTATTTTAAAATCATCCTTGCTTTTATGTGAAGAATGGGATAAAAGAGAGCTGAGTGGAATTGGAGAAACTGGTTAGAAGGCAGTGTATGTTACCCCCAGTGAGAGACAATGGCAATCTGGACTGAGTTATTGACAAAGGAATTGGAGTGAAATGGGCCAATTCGAAGTATATATTCATGTCATGGCCAAGGAACTTGCTGTTGGGTTAGATGTGGGAGAATGAAAGAATAGAAAAACTTGACAGCTTTTAAGTTTTTGGGGAAGACAGATGGAGTATATCATTATCAGAATAATGACTTCTGGGATAGACATGAAATGGACTATTAAATCCCTTTTTCAAAATTCTAGTGGCTTAATTTTATTTTAAATAAATTGTACAACTACTGTTTCCACAAATCCCACATACTTTATAACTGTTTATACTACTTTGTCTACTCTTCCAGTTCTTGTTGACTAAATCTGCAATTTAGCAGTTGCAAGCAATATGCTCATGCAGTCTAAGGGTCTACATTTTTCCATGTAGATAATTTAAAATATTGCTTTAAAAAGTACTC